CTGACACTGGTGAGTTTGATTTTTGACTGTTTATATAATGTTTGGATTTTTTAAAACATCTTTTTCTACTTTTTTTATTTAGTTTTTTTTCATTGTTCTTTCTGCCAGCTTGTCCTGTAATATTTAAACAAGCTTTAAAGTTTAACCAATCAAGTTAAAGTTACCTATGACTTTATATATATATATATATATATAGTTTTAAATGTTATATATATATATATATATATATATATATATCAACATATATATATCAACATATATATATATGTATATATACATATATATATATTACATATATATATATATATATCAACATATATATATATATATATATATATATCAACTTATATATGTGTATATATATATGTATATATATATATATGTATGTATATATATATGTATGTATATATATATGTATATATGTATATATCAACATACATATATTACATATATATATATCAACATACATATATTACATATATATATCAACATACATATATTACATATATATATATATATCAACATATACATATATTTATATATATATCAACATATACATATATATATATATATAAAATATTATTTATAATGGTAACTAATAGTTTTAAATGTCTCATGTGTCTGAACCTGTTAATGGTATAAACTGTTTTGGCTCCGAGTGCATGTTTTGGAGACAAAATGTCAGCAATGAGCCGTTTTCCTGTGGTTCATGTGCCTCTAGCAAATAACTGAATTGTTGTGCACGTGTGTAGGAGCACGTGGGTGTGTGTATATATGAGTTTGTAAAAACTTAAGATGACAAAAGTGACGTTAGTTTTAAGTACGTTTATTGTTTTCAATAAATACTCATTAAAGTGCATGTCATAACAACATCATGCAGTGCATAAGAGAAATCCAAACCAGAGGACACAAAGACAAGGACACACACACACACACACACAGAGAAAAACATCAGTGTGCATTCACACACAACTAAACCTTCAGGTCACCTTATTATCCCAGTGAACAGAAAGCACACAGCTTAGCTCTCTGCACTTTGGTTCAGCACAGAAAGAGGCCTGTTCTGCTTTAAACCGATCAGAGTTGACTGTACATGACTAACATGCCACTGACAGATGCATCCAGCTGTTATACACCTGACAGTAAATACTGTTTTATTCTCAGAGGAGCGTTTGAGCAATGTCTCCTGCAGTACACTTCACCTGCACGTGTTTCGGACCGAACTGTGACGAGCAGAACATGAAGGCAGAAAGAAAATGACAATATTCTGGTGTGAAGACCTGAGGCTCAATGGGGTTAACCTGTATAAATAAAGGCTGAATGAATAAAAGTTGCTTAATGCACCACAGGCAGGTCTTATCAGACACAGATATTGTGAAATAAAGATTATTGTTGAATAGTGTTTACACACATGTGCTTATGGGTAAAAATAAACTCATAGAGCATTTGAGTGGTGTTTGAAAAAGTTATGTTTTCACAGTTTAAAATAAGTCCTGCAAAAAACAAGAACTGTTGGACAAAACTCAAGAGTTAAACATCATATGGTCCGGTGTGGGGGATGGAGGGAGGTAACACTTACATAGCTGGTGTACAGGACTATTTCATCCATGTTTACCAAGCCTTCATTTTTGAAACTGTGATTGAAAGTGAATGTAATGAAAACATCAGACTCAAATATAAATTGACCTTAAACAACAAGTGTTATTGGTTGGCAATGACTTTAAATTAGTACAAGATGTCTGCCGACTAAATAAAGCACTGGTTCTGTGTGACCGCTCTGAAACAACAAACAGGACCTGGACAGAGCTGACGCTCTAAGAAAAGCATAAATCCTCGATGAACCTGTGGTGGAAAAGCTACATGTAGCGTTTAATAAGAATGAACCGAAGAAGAACATGTGCCCAACTCTGAAAACTGACTGCACTCAAAAACACTGACAGACTTTACATCCAACAAAGACTTGGTACAGACCAGACTGATGCTCGTCCTCCTCAACTAGCAAGTTTGACTGAAACAAACCTCGTGAAACAATGAAACACTACGGTGTCCCGGAGGTGTAAATGAATGAAAAACAGAATTACATTTCAAAAAATGAAATTATATTTGAAAAAAAAAAAAAAAAAAAAAAACCACAATATTTCAAAAAGCTGAATTACATTAAGCCAAACCAAAAGTGGTGTTTTTTTTTTCTTCTTCTTCTTAACTTTATTAACAACAGAACAATGTTCAGTAGGGTCATTCCTACCATTTGGTGCCTTTTGAGTCCCCATGCCATAATGTGGTATATTTGTTTAAAGGTGAGCTAATATTTATTTTATTACTCTCATCTTATATGTTTGACTCACGTCTACCATAAAACACAACCATGTGTACACAAGATGGATTTAGTTCCTGTTTTAAGTATTTTACATCACTTTATAATGTAGCTGTTTTTGCTTAGTTTTTATGTAATTTCTTCTATTTACTTTTCATTTTATACCACTTTTTATATTATTGTCTGTTGTTGTCTGTACCTCATGTGTGTTCTTTGTTGAAAACAGGTCTGTCTTGTAAATGAGTCCTGGAGGCTCAGTGAGGCTAACCTGGATAAATAAAGGTTGAACGAATGAATGAAATTTAAATCAATTTTATTTAATTTTAAATGCAACTTGGGTTTACTGCCATTCATGCTTCCTGAAATTAAGTTACAATTCTATGTAATAAAAATAAAAATGAAATAATTTTTTTAATAATTTTTTAATTGTACTATTTATAATAGTTCTCAGCCAATGACTTTTCATGATATCAAACATTTTTTTTAATGTTTAAATTATTAAAAATAAATGGAGTCCCTGAGTCAACTGTCCACCCTGTTACTCTAAAATACCCGTCACCCCCGCTTTGGCTTAATGCAATTCTGTTTTTTCATATACTATTATGTTTTTGTTGCTTTTTTCATATGTAATTTTGATTTTTGAAATGTAATTCCGTTTCTTCAAATGTTGTTCATTTACACCTCAGGGCCACCGTAGGAACCTTTTCAGTGCGAATGAGTAAAATGTAACAACTCTTGAATGAATACAACTCAACCCATCGGTTGCTTCTTCAATCTCAACACACAAAAATCTCTTTGCATCTTGATTGCATCGCGTCGTCCCTCCGCCTCGATCACATCCTTTACCAACAATATCGGTGTTTAAATATTGACAAGTTGGGGAATATTAAAACTGTATTGTTTTAGTTCTGAACAGTATGTTACTGTTTTTATGTGAACGTTTTAAATGGTTTACAGCATTTAAAGATCTGAGACAACAGTCCACAGAAAAGGCATTAGAGTAAAGACCCTTCACTTTTGTATTGGACTGCAAACTAAAAAAGGCTAAATGTTTTACACCATAAGACAATGATGATTAAAACATCAATAAAAGAAAAACAATAAATAAACTATCAAGAACAGAACTGCCTTTCATTTTACATTCAGCTTTAAAACTTTTTTGTAATAAAGTTATGTACGTGAACAGCAATAAGAAACATCCCAACAGTGCAGGACCGAAGCAACTTCCACAGTAAAGCCTCAATGAGTTTGGTGCAAAAAAAAAAACATTCAGTTTGCAAACTGCGGAACTGAAGGTGTTTTAAAGTGCGGACTGAACGGAAATGAACACCTAAATCAAAATTGAAGCTGACTGAAACAGTCCCCAAAAATTAAAAAATCAAAGCTCATCTGTCTGATTCCACCACGTTTTAAACCTCGCAGGCTTTACAGTTTGAGAAAAGTCCTCCACACACGAACATGTAGAGGCAGAGTGAAAAACATCAAGCGTGCTACACTTCACATCTGATCCAAACGCTGCAGTCATCTGTGTGCAGAATCAGTGTTGCATTCTTTAAGGCATCGGGAGAAAGGACATCTGCTCTCCTGCAGCAGACACATCTGATATCATTAGATCTTCAGCTTCCTGTTCACTAAAACCATTTGTCTTTCTTATGGCATTCTGTTCAAGCACCACGGATGAGCTGAGCAGAAGTTTCTTCATTAGTCTGAGTTAAATATGTGCAACAGTATGTATGAAATGTATGGCACGGTCTTTTCCCTCTCAACAAAAACATCTTGTAGGATTCACGTGACCATCTTGCTCCCTCTCATCATCTACAACATGTTCTCAAATTTGGTTAAAACTCTTAATGTAATGTTTAAACAATATCACTGCAGTGTCTAAAAACATGACCTTTTAAAAATAAATATGACTCTGATCTCTAAAAAATAATAATCTTCATTTTGGTGTATAAAGTGTTATTTGGTTTATCTTTGTCAACCTTTACATAATATGATAGTAATATAAATATACATGGATAATAAAAGCTTCTTTTTTTTTACAAACCATAGAAAACTTGCAAAATAATTCTAAGCGTAACAGTAACGTTCCTCCGACACAGCTGTGGTGAGAAAACTGCTAACCTGACCTTGGATGAGTGTTTGTGGTTAATTCACAGGACGTCCTGCCATTCAGGGTGACGTCTCAGCAGACTTTCAAAGATTAAAGGTATTTGTGTGAGAAGTGGCAGTAAACATGACACTGACATGACTGAACTGTGAGCCTACAGTTTGCTTCCACAACTTCATCAAGGATCCAGTTTATACAGTTAGTAATTGATGTTTAATCACAAAGACTTCACCCTAAGGTTGTGTCATAGTAATTCTTAAAACGCTAATTTTCAGTGTTTATTCCCTTTTTCTCTCCTATAGCTGAGGTTAACACAACACTGGTATTGCTTTTCATTATGTCTCAGATAAACTGAGAGGAAACAGAACAACGGTCACAACAGACGCTCCCTACATCCCACAGCTAGCTTCAAAGCCTTACCGACATCCAGGTTACAGCAACGCTGAGGGGCCGCAGGTCTCAGCGTGCCAGCGTGGTGATCAGACTGGCACACATTTCAAAAAAGTCCATGGTGTGTGATCCCTGACGAGGGGTCAGCAGCGGGGAGCTACCAGACAGAGAGCCCGGGAGAGAGAAGCTGAGCTGAGGCAGGTCGATGGCTGGGCTCGCAGAATCGATGCTCAGTCTGGGTCTGTGAAGACCGGCTGTGGAGCCTGACCTCTGAGGAGTGGACGATCCCGATTTAAAACCAACTGCCTCCATGATGTCATCTGTGGGTATCGGCACAGAAGCGTCACAATTTCTTTAGAGTGACGTCACCAGTTTAAGAACCAAAAACAGCTTTCCAGACCAGATGTGCAATCTGTGCTTTTCAAAGCTACGCAGTTTACACATTCAGTCCCATACAACAAAGAGGTGCTGTTTCTGAAGTCATATCAAACTGTGGGGTGCACCCTGGGTGGCCCTTAGGGGGGCCCAAGGCCATGCTGGGAAACAGACATTCAGGCCTAAAAAATCCAACCCGGCCCGAGCCTGTAGGTATTTTTTCCAAACCTGACTTGAACTGACCAATTAATTGTAATTACAGGCCCGAACCTCCCCAAAAAAGATTTTTTTTTTTATTAAGCCTTTACTGCTTTTGTAAGCAAATCAGTTTGACATGATCTTTTAACAAAGTAACAAAAGGAAGATATAAGATTTCTTGTTTATTAACAAGTCCACAAATGGATATTAACATACAAAATGAATAGCTTTAAAAAAAAAATCAACTCTAAAGATAGGCTATTATACAGATGAACAAAAATATTTTTAGAGCAAAATTATTTGGAAAAATATAGAACAAGCCTATTTTAACTGAATGCGCTGCTCGCTTCAGATTTTGTAGATGCTGCTACTTCCTTCACTGCAGATGACAGCAGGTGCGGAGACGCACACAGCCGGTGATCAGCTGATCCATCTGAGCTTAACTGGACTTTTTTTTTTTTTTTTTTACCTCTTTCAACCGTCCGGTCGGACCTGCCTCCTCCTCAACAAGTAGATTAACACAATTTTATATTGTGCGTTTTATTTAGGTTTTTTTTGTACTTTATGGCGGGACATGGGCACTAGTGACCCCCGCGACTCAAAAAAGAAGAAGCGGGTAAAGATAATGGATAGATGGATGGATGGATGGATGGATGTGCTGTATGATTCGTAAAACCACACCATAGAAGCCCGAGGCCACCTGCATAATTATTGCACAATGCTCCAGAGGCAGCGCTACTCTCTTCACAATCTAATTAACTGCTGCACTCGTTTCTTTCTTCATCCTCTCAACATATAAACGTACTGCCTCCTCCTCTACAAGTAGATTAACACAATTTTATATCATGCATTCTTATTTAGTTTTATTTGTTCTGTATGATTCACAAAACCATATCAAAGCCTGAGAGAGGCCGGACCCGCACATTAGGCATATTATTATGGCCCAGCCCGGCCTGACTTAGGGTCAGGTCGGTTAGAAATGACAGCTCTAAAGGAGGGTGGGAGTTTTGCGAGGTTTATCTTAAGAAGTGTGTAAGATTAGAAGAACGAGAGGTGTATCCAGAAGTCCCTCGCTACTTCATGGCTCGACTTTCGCAGATTCGCTTTCGCGTTTTTTGTTTTTTTTTCAGATCCACTTCCACATCGCCAAATTATTTTTTCCTGTCATCAATTATGTCATCTGCTTTCTCTTCGCTTGTGAAAGCTTGTTCAGTCACATTCTGACGGTCATGGGCACTCATTTTGAAGCGAAAACTTAACGCACATTGGAGATTAGCCTAGCCTGCTATTCTGGACTCAAGCTCTGCGTAACATCTACGTCACCACGCGCTTACATAGTTGTGTCGCGGCTTTTTCTGTTCGGGTTGAAACGGAAGAGGCCACTTCAACCCGAACAGAAAAATAAATGTGTCAGTGAAACGCTGTAATCATATTGAAAATGTGCTTAAAACTCATATCACTGTTATTGAATAAAAATATATCGTGACATATATCGATATCGAATTATTGTCCAGCCCTAGACAAAGATGACAACTAATTCACATTGGCATGCATCTAATTTAAAACATGCATATGTTTGCTTTAACTGAATATTTACCTAAATGTTTGAAATGATTAGAATGGAAAGTTTATGTTGGAACTCCGGTTTCCTCCCACAGACCAAAAACATGCATGTTAGGCTGATTGGTAACTCTAAATTGTCCCTAGGTGTGAGTGGGAGAGTGAATGGTTGTTTGTCTCGTTTGTCTCTATGTGGCCCTGTGATGGACTTGCGACCTGTCCAGGGTGTACCCCGCCCCTCGCACAGTGATTGCTGGACATGGGCACCAGCGACCCCCGTGACCCAAAATGGAATAAGCGGGTAAAGAAAATGGATGGATGGATGGTTTATGTTGGACATTAATTTTCTGGAAGCAATAAAAATGATGAACTTTAGAAGTCTCAGTTACTGTATTATTAATATCTGTATACCAAATCCAATGTGTCAATAAATATTCAAACGTGTATATAAAAATATATGTAGTTAATACAAATTTTATCACTAACCATCAATGCTCTTGAAGTCGAGGAGGTAGGATCTGTGGTCAACTTGGTAAAGCTGTAGACTCATTTTCACCAGGTTTCCCGTCACTGGATTCTTCCTGCGCACTCTCAGATGATACGGGTTCACCACCTAACACGTACATAAACCGTCACATGTAACCTTGCTTGTGGACTGTGCAAATGCCTGCAGATTTAAAACATAACCCATTACCTTCCAGTCAAAACTGAGCTGTTTCATAGCTCTGTACACCTCAGCCATAATATCGTACGGTCTGCTTTGACTCCGGATACCCAAGTGCCATTTGGCTTTCTTTACTGCGAGTGGTTTGGGGCGGGTGGTGTTGAGAGCATCCAGAGGACATCGAGACTTGGGGCTGTCAGCCAAAAGAGGAGGCATCCTCTCTGGATGGGGTTTGATCCCAGGGGGCAGCAGCATCCCCTCCTCGATAAAAGAGCCCTGTGGAGGACTGGATGCCAAATAGAATTCACTGGCTTGGGTCATGATGCGCCGGTTGTCTATGATGAGATGATAAGCTACAGCTAGCTGATCCTACGGACAGGAGGACAGAGAGGACCATAATTCACTGTAGCTAGAAGTCAAACATACTCATGGCTGCTTCTTTCTACAAGAAAATTATTTTTATGTGCCTGTTTCAATATTTTAAAAAATAGGGAGTTGTAAAATCATAGAACTACACACAGAGAATGTTTTAGTGAGCATTTTTTACTACATTCATTAACAAAAAACATTTGTTTCTTCATGCAAGCGTCTACCTGTGGATCTCCACTATAGAGGCTGGACACAACTTCGGACTCATTGCATTCAAACTTTTCACAAACTTCTCTGACCGCCTCTTCATCCAAAACAGTGGCATCGTACAACGAGTCCTCCGGGAACAGGTAGCCTGGCAGGTCCTGCCGAAACCACTCATTTTCCCTGACAAAACACAGCAGGACCTATCAAATCAGTTACTGCAATCAAACATTCATAATCATACAAGAGGATAACAGAGGATTCCCGTGTGTGAATTTGAAACTTGGGCAAAGCTGAAATGTTGGCAAGCAGATCTTCTAGTGGACACATCACTGAGTCTTCAAGCTTGTTTGATCATAATTTGATTTTGTTGGGGAAAATCTCTGTCATTAACGTTGTTCACCCGAAAGAACCACATTTGATGGCAGGAGAAGATTTTACTGGCATTTTACTTGCAAAGTCAGATTTCAGGAGAGGTTACCTAAATATAAACATATCACATATGTATATGCATAACTAGTCACAGAAAAAAGTTATGAGTCGCATTAGCTGCTCACTTTTATACTCCTCTCAGCTCAGCTGAGTTCAGGAGATATCCATGAAGCCTGCTGCAACCTTCTTACACAGCGCTCTGGGTTTACCCAAACATATGGTTCATGGGCAGAAATAAAATGACGTATTGGGAAATGGTTTCAATTAAGCTTTGAGCTTCTCATTCTCAGGGCAGAGGGGAAGAATATTCGCAGTCGTAGTAATAAAAGTTCAATCTGGTCCTCTGGACATTCAAAAAACCAAAAAACAAAACAAAGCAAAAAAATGTAGAAACGTTTCGTCTCTCATCCGAGAGACTTCCTCAGTCTGAGGTGCTGTTTTCAGCTCAGTCTCTTAAATAGCACCTTCTCAGAGTGGATCAACCAGTTTTGCTGCTGACA